AACTAATGTGTAAATCTCATTTTTTCCCTTTTTTCTTCTCAATCAGAATTGTCCCCATGATGCTTCTAAGTCCTTCTAACTTCAAGACAGAGAAAACATGTCTGAATTATAAAGTGCAGAATCAGAGAGCATTTGTCTCTTTTTGAAATTACATCTGGGCAGCACAAATGTAGTAATTAGGGCAGTTTCTAAAGAGGTGTCTTTATTTTAACACGAGGTTTTAGGTTTGGAATTGCTAGGTTTAATATGTCCTCATGGTAATCCATTTGCCATTTTACAATAAATTTTAAACATTCTTTGTCTATTTTAAATCATCTTTTTGCTGGCCCTATTATCCGTGAAATCATACAGAGTAGTTTACTTTTCCTTTTAGATGTCCATCCTGTTTTTATAACCTAGTGAACCTGTTTTGTGAGCTGACATGTAGCCCTCGACAAAGTCAGTTTCTGAACGTTACAGCAATGGAAGATTATGTTGATCCTGTTACAAACCAGACAAAAACAAACGTAAAAGAATTACAATACTATATTGGAGAGAGTTTTGCCAATGGTAAGTAAACTTCTAAATTATTCCTCTTTAATATTTGGTATCAGGACAGTGGATCAAATTGTCCCTTCTTGTCCTGTCAACTCTGTGAAAATGACAGTTTTTAGTTCCATTGGCCTTGAAATGTGAGTTGTTGCTTTGCTTGTATCCTGGGACTTGAGCTACAACCTTTTATACAATCTCCTTAAAGTATTTGCTTTAACTCCTTCCTAAGTATAAGTTCCCACATGGAAATTTTTAGTATGTGCAAGCTTATTTCTATACATTTTAGAAACCACTGGAACTTTGGTTCTAGCGGACATGAAAGGCATAACTTCATGAATTACTGCACGACTGAGGAGATGGGGTGGAAGGTAGAACTATAGTTGGCAGAGGAGAGATTTTTGACCTTGAAGAACGGATCACGGGAAGGGAAAGTAAGCAGGTGTAACCAATAGGAGAAGGGGTGCCCCAGCAGCGAGAAATCACAGGACAGTCTGAAAAAGACCATGTCACCTTTGTTGAAAATGATTGAAATGAAAGAACTCTAAAAGAACAGGACACTAAGGAAAAAGCATGAACAGATTTGAAATAGAGCTATAGGGCTTCCCTGGTGGTGCAGTGGTTAGGAATTCCCTGGTCTGGGAAGATCCCTCATGCCATGGAGCAACTCAGCCCGTGCACCACAACTACTGGGCCTGCACTCTAGAGTGTGCCACAACTACTGAGCCTGTGTGCCACAGTTACTGAAGCCTGCGTGCCTAGAGCCTGGGCTCCGCAACAAGAGAAGCCACTGCAATGAGAAGCCCACACACTGCAACAAAGAGTAGCCCCCATTCGCTACAACTAGAGAAAAGCCCGCATGCTGCAACGATAACCCAATGCAGCCAAAAATTTTTTTAAAAAAAGGAATAGTCATTTAAGTGGATTAAAAGAAGATTAGATGCAGCTGAATAAAGAATATGCCCCAAAACAATAAATAAAATAAGAAAATAATTCATCAAAGTTGTTGACTATAAGAGCAACATATAAATTTAATTATAATGATCAGTTAAAAACATAACAGGGGCTTCCCTGGTGGCGCAGTGCTTGAGAGTCCGCCTGCCGATGCAGGAGACGCGGGTTCGTGCCCCGTTTCGGGAAGATCCCACATGCCGCGGAGCGGCTGGGCCCGTGAGCCATGGCCGCTGAGCCTGCGCGTCCGGAGCCTGTGCTCCGCAAATGGGAGAGGCCACAACAGTGAGAGGCCCGCATAACGCAAGGAAAAAAAAAAATAAAAATAAAAAAAAAAACATAACAAAAAAACTTACTAGAAAAAAGATCCCATTCACGAAAGCAACAAAAAGTAGGGTACCTAGGAATAAATTCTGCCAAAAGATGTGACGTAAAAGACAGCCTGACAGGATGAAGAGAGATCATTCTGTGTAGAAACAGAACCATCCATGTGGACAGTTGATACAGGTGTGTTGTTACAAATCATTAAGGGAAAGA